GCTACAAAATTTAATGGTAACCTGGATCCTGCTCAGCATTTAACCCTTTCAGTGGACTATTTTTTTACGGGTCACGATCCTACCTCAAAAGGGTTAAACAAATTAAAATAAATGTTCAAATGTGAGAAAATAAATCCTCAAAACAAAAAGAAAAAAGGGGGGGTGAGAATAATCTAAAGATATCTAAAACATGAGGGGGCGGGGCTGGGCAGCGCAGGGCTCTGCTAAAATTGTATTTTGAGAGAGGAATCCAGTATTCAGATCCCACAATAGTAGTTTAGTTCTGGGACACTCCCACGAGCACATCGGGATCAATTCGTAGATGAGTCATTTTGACAGATCCACCTGTGCCAATGAAAGAGCCAATGTGCTCATAGGAGGGGAACCTCGAACCTTCCACTGCTGGGGGTTCTTTGAGGGTAGAAAATTTGATTTAAGCAACAGGGGGGGGCAATTGACCTCTGAATAAATCCATACTGGTGAGCTCTTTGTTGTACCAAACCCTAGGTCTCAGGTCTTCACCGTAAGTGTTTTTAAAGCATGACTGTGTCCTGGAGTGAGTTTGATCTGCCTTCTGCAATGGTTTGTCTCCTCACATGTCCAAAAATTCTCGTCCAGTCAACATCCTTATGTGATGAAAAGGTGGCTCTATTATTAGTACAGGTAAATCTGTCAACAACTCATCCACTAACTGATCCTCCTTTTCAGAACAGGATATAACGGAAGCTTGTGTGGTTTTTAACCCCTTAAGGACCAAATTTCTGGAATAAAAGGGAATCATGACATGTCACACGTCATGTGTCCTTAAGGGGTTAAAAGAATTTTCGAGGACCAGTTTCAGAGCGGACATCCATTACAGAAAAACTAGCAGCTAAGTTGAAGGCTGTGTTTTTTTTGACCCTAGAGGCAATGTCAGCAATCTCAAATTCAAAAATAGATATCCTTCTGAAAGGAAAAAAGTGGTCACTTCAGCCTCAAAAAAAATAAAAAGTCGAAAGGATAACACGTAATAAATCTGAACAGATGAATGTCCGTTCATGCTTGCTGCGTGTCAATTCTGTGCAGCTAAAGGAACTAATGGCACAAATTGTCTGGGATGACCGACACAGCCAGTGGTAGATGTACGGCAGTTTAGCTAACCAAGTGCTTTGCTGGGCAATGGTTTCAGATAATTAGCTGCCTGACTCTTGGTTCATGCTCTGACCTAGTAATTGGCCTGGTGTTTGGTAACAAATTAGTGCAAGAAAAGAGGGCAGGGACAAAAATAAACAAAACAAAAATGGAGATCGGTGCATGGTTTGTATTCCTATATTCAGCCATTCTTGGCAAAGGTCAGATGGGAGATTTTAGGATCTTTTCATCCAATGTCTATAATAAAAGGGGAAGAAGGGCTGAAATCATCTACTTGATTTTGTTAGGGCTGGGTAGGTAGCACAATACATGTATCCAATACCGTCTACATAAGACGACTTTCCATAAAAGAGCATATTTACAAACCAATATTTCCAATTGTAGCATTTTAAAACGGTTCCAAGGACACGCAGATTTACAAGGTCCTTTTCTGTATTCTGGGTTGGGTTCATCGATTGAGTCTATGGTGGTCAACACTCCATGGGATTGGAGGAGAGCTGCCGATTTATTGCAAAATATATATTATTCAACTGTATTCACAGAGATGGCCGCAGCCAGCCGGGCACTGAGAATTCGACTGCATCCAGTTCATGAGGTGTTGAAGGTGTCCTCCATGACCGCAGCCCTGGCACCAGACAAACAGGCCTTTCACTACATGGTGGCAGACCGCACACATGCTGGCACACTGCCGGCACCTAGACCAAAGGAAAGGAGAATTAATATAGCCCGGATACATGGCAACAGTGTAATTTGTGAAAAATAAGTAAAGTAAATTTATTTATTTTTTAATCTCCACAACAAGGCTCCTACTGGGGTCCAGGTATATTTTTGAAGGTGACCTCCCTACAATCCTGGCAGCACTTACCGATCACAGATCCAGCCCTTCTTGTTCATGGGCCTCTTGCAGTTACTGCAGTTGATGTGGAGAGTGGTGGACGCTTGGTTGAGGCAGTTGATGGCGCCGCAGGTGCTCTGTTTGATCACTTGGTTGGAGACATTCCACAGCTTGAATCGTTGAAGAAGATCTATATAGGAGGTGAACCAGTGCTCCTAGAACAGAGTTAAGAGGGGAAATAGTCACATTTCTGGAATTCACACCATTTTATAAAACGCAGAAACTCACCTATAAATTGTGTTAACTGTGTTCTAATGACATGCTCAGTTATCTTTATTGTTTATATTATTAAAGATTTAGCTTAATGATAATCCAGTTCAGGTAAGAACAGAAAACATGGTTTTATTTCTACTCTTCTCAGAATGTGCTCTGTACACTGACAGCTAGGTGAAAAGGACAGAGCTTATAACAGTGATTGACAAGGAGCGATGGAGGCATCGAGTTGTAGACTAATGAGGTAAGAATTTCTACATTTACTTTAGAACATCTCACATATTCATTAAATACATACATATTCAGGGATACATAAATAGAAAGTTAAAAATCTTGGGAAGTGGCAGTTCCCCTTTAGGTCACACTTGTATGGTTTGCTAGAGGATCTTCCTTGCGGTCTCTGTTATAGAGACCCTTAAGCTGCTACTAGACTACATCTATGTACAAGTGTAGGTATGTTCAGGTCAATGTTTTATCATTCAGTCAATGAGTGATCAGAAGGAAACCACATCCATTCTGCCAAGCCCTGCTCCCCACATTCCTAAACATTATCACTTGCTCAGTTTATTACACGTATACACCATCAGACTGTGCCTATCAGAGGCATTTGCCAGCTGTCAAGGTGCAAATACAAGGCATAGAGCCTGTTTAGAGATTATGACTGATCAGAACACTTCAGCTGTGCAGATGCATTAAGATGTTATAATGCATCAAACAATGCCTTCAACGGTTTAAAGCTGTTGTGATTAAGAATTCCACATAAGTTCATGGGAACATTGTTATTGGTGGGCATCCAGTGCCCAATAAAATTTTTTTAGGAAACCTCCTGTTTTAGCCACTTTTAACACCAGGCCAACCTTTTAGTACCTGTGTTTGTTCGTCTATCTCTTTGCGTATTCGGTCTCCAAGCACGATGAGGACAGACGCGGCCATCTGCACGTCTCCCTGCTCGGCGTAGAAGCGCAGCATGTCACGCACGATTGGGCTGAAGAAGTCGGAGGGCAGTTTGTTTTCATAGAGGGCATGGGAGATGGAGATAAGAGAGAAAGACTCCACTGGAGTCAGAGACACTGCTTCTGCCTCGTTGCCACTCACGTGGGGGGAATCGGCCTTCTCCTGCAGGTGGTCTAAAGCGGAGGGGTCTTCTGTGATTTCATGACGCAAGTTAAATCCCTCCTGTGGAAGCACCAACTCCTGTTCCTCAGCTGCAGAATGAATAAGAAATTCATAATGAGGTCTTTATGCACTTAACCGACAACTGTTGAGAGCCAACAATAAAAGCAAAACATTTTTAGCCGAATTTAAAAACTTAGTTTGCTCTAAAATTTGCAGTGATTTTGTCAGTTACCACAATGTCTAGTTTAGCAAATAAATGCCAAGTGTATTCTAGTTCTTGGAAATACTATTATACAAATCAACCAGGTGATCGGCCAACTAAAGGCTTCAGAACACATTAATCTTATCATAGAGACAAGACTTTATCAGGAGGGTAGCTGCAAAATAGGTGCATTGACACGATTTCATGGTATCTTGGGAAACCTGGATCTGCTTGAGATGCTCTGTTAGTTCCATTTCAGAAAGCAGACATACCCCAAGAGTTTTGTTTTATTATTAAAAGGCACACTTTAAATAAAATAACCACTGTAGCTCAGTACAGGCTATGGGGGTTACCCCCAGGTTTTTGTCAATCTGTTTGGGAGAGCAGAGACCACTCACTATCCAGTTGTCTTGATTCCATTTCCACATTCTCAATATACGTGCCTCAAACACAGGACCTGTTCTAGAAAGATATACACAGGTCTGAAGTTTCCTGCAAAAGGACTTACCAGGAGGTTCATGTTCCATCATGTAAAGTTCATCTTCGTCTCCCTCAACGTCTCCAAACATATAATCAGCAGGGACATCACTGCCCTCCGTCTCCTCGTTCTCTGTTCAGAGATGGAAATTGTTAGAGCATAAAACACGGTCACACAAGAGACAACCTGTGCCTACGAAGATTCGAAATACAAGATGGTGCCTTCACAAGGGGGCATTTTAGTCCTCAACCAAGTACCCTAATAAAATGGCTTATAAAGGAAATGAACTATCCTAAGACACAGGGCTCTGGTTGCAGTATAGCTATCCAATGATGGAAGGCAGATCCCTTTTCATAACTGGACAGATGAGATACTAAAGCAAAGAATTAAAATAAATAAAGGAATTGCAATCTTTATTACCCTCGCCAACTCTTTTTTATTTCTTTATTTTTGTCTTGACATATCAGGCGTTACATCAACATTGGTCAGCTTGCACAGGTGCAGAGATTTAGAAAATACATACATTTCTTGTTACATACGGGTATCTCTGCATTGGTATTCTGGGTACATTCATACAGCGTTTTCACATATAAAAGGGTTATACTCTGAGGATGTTCGCCCGACGCCAAGTTTTTTTTATCTATAATAGTAAAAATATCATTCAGCACTGGTCCCTACAGCAAAGGTGAGGCCAGTTCCTAGTAGTAGAGATCTATCCAAATTTGGTGGTGCACCACATTTTCTGTTATTTTACTGTGTACATTTTTTGGAGTTGGTGCCCGTTGGGCCAGCAAGGTTAATTAACCTCGGGGTTTGGGCGTGGTGCTTGGTCTTACAGCCTTGGTCCTACCCCACAGGAATCTTTGGCATTTGCCTCCTTGGGACTTTGTTAATGGGTTGTGGCCCTGTCAGGGTTCTCCACCCAGGGCCCGGATAGGTGTTAACTATTGTCGAGCTGTTCCAGTGTAGTGTGCATGCCCAGTGGCTTCTGGTGCTATTTTCTACCATGTTATGTTTGGGGTTTGGTGCTGGGATGCATGGTGGGTCGCTCCCAGCCCTCAGTCTCCTGTTTCTGGTCCTATGTAATTTAGTGGTGATTAGTCCCCGGCATAGTCCTCCCAGGGTTGCCAGATTTTGTGAGAGAGGTTTTTAGTGTTTCTGACCTGGGCTGTGAGTTTGTCCATCAGATATGTGTCCTTGAGCTTCACTATGACGTAGTTTATTGACGGAACTATGGGTTTCATCCACGCCTGGGCTAAGGCTCGTCGAGCCGCCAGTGTGAGTTTGTTAAGGAGCTGTTGCTCCCTCCTTGGGAGGCCGTCCGTGGGTTTGCACAGTAGGATGGACCAGGGGTCCAGATCAATGTGTTTCTTCAGGACGTCCGTAAGTAATGTCTGTACCCTTTTCCAGAATCCGCCTACTTGTGGGCAGTCCCACCACATATTCTTAAACGTGCCCTTATCCCCACACCCTTTCCAGAATGTGTGTCATGGTTTTACCCATTCTATGTAGTTGCACTGGGGTGGTGTACCACCTCATCAGCATTTTATAAGTTTGTTCTTGTTGTAGAACGCATATTGAGGTTTTTGCAGTCGCCTCCCAAATGTCCGCCCAGTCCTCTCCCTCTAGTACCTGTCCCAAGTTGGTCTTCCACTGTCCAATATGTCTGGGTTCTTTGTCGTCCTTGTCTGGTGCACTGAGTTGTGTGTATATGGTGGAAATAAGGCCTTTCTGTTCAGTCTTTGAAGTGCACAGTCGTTCGTAGAACGTCATTTGGGTTTGGGCATCATTCCGTATCGCTGGATTTTTAGCGAAGTCCTGTAGTTGTATGTATCTAAAATACATTTTTCGTGGTCAAGGGTGGCGAGGGTTTTTAGGTAGTCGAATGTTCCGTTTTCGTAGAAGTGGTGGTATCGGTGGTATCTCTGGACCCCAGTATCCTCGATGCCTCTGAAGTAGCGCGAACACAGCCCGGGCTCAAACGCCCCATTTCGTAGGTACGGGGTGAGTGCATGTGTTTTAATGCATAATGGTGGCTGTTAGGCCCCAAATCCTTATGGATTTGAGGATAGCGGGGCAGGTAGTTTGGATGGGATGTTGGTGGTTGTGAGCTTTAGTGGGTACATTGATTTTATCCTGGTAATCTCATCCTGATCCATCTCAATCGGCATGGCTACCGATTTCTCTAGATTGATTTTATAACCCGACACGTTTACGTATTCCCCAGGGAGGGCCAACAGTTGGGGTAGAGAGTGCCGAGGGTTGGCGAGTGTTATTATTACATCGTCCGTGTACACCGCGACTTTATATTCCTTCCCCACCCACCCGCAGTCCCTCTATTGTCTTGTTTATCTGGATCTGTTGTAGGAGTGGCTCCAGTGCCAGGACAAACAGCAGGGGGGATAAGGGGCATCCCTGCCTGGTGCCATTTCTAGGTCTGAAGGGGGTCGGGGTCGATCCCGGTATGTATGTTTGTGCCCTGGGTTCTGTGTATAGGGCTTTAATCCCTATGATGAACGGATCCGGCATTCGTAGGTGTTTCAGTAGTGTGAAGAGGAAGTGCCACTGGACCCTGTCGAATGCCTTCTCCGCGTCCAGCGAGAGTATCAGAGAAGGCGTCCCCATCCTCCGCGCCCTCCATATGAGGTCTGTTCTCATACAGTTGTCTCGATGGCATGAAAACCACCTGGTCCGGATGGACCCGGGTGGTCAGGGGTTTAGCCTTGTTGCCAGGATTTTTGCGAATAGCTTCACATCAAAGTTTATGAGAGAGATAGGTCGTTAGTTTGCCGCATCTGTTGTGTCTTTTCCGGGCTTGGGGATGAGTGTGATGTCGGCCATGTCTGGGTTCGGGCTCGTGCCCGCCATCCAGTCACCAAACACCCCCACCAGTCGAGTGGTCAGTGTCTCCCACAGGGTCTTGTAGTATGTGCCGCCAAACCAGTCTGGCCAAACCAGTCTGGCCTTGTCGCCGTTCAGGGCGGTTATTGCTCTGTCGAATTCGTCTTCGTCTATTGGAGCCCCTAGTGCTTGTAGTGCTTCGTGTCCCAGCTCGGGCAGTTTGGTCTTGGCCACGAAGTTTCTGACCGCTTGGTCATAGGCTTTGTTGCCATCATTCAGATCTGGAGAGTGGTTGTATATTTTAGTGAGGTAGTCTGTGAAGATTTGGTTTGTTTCTGTAGTGTTGTGGGTTACCCGTCCGCTCGCGTCTCGTAGGGCCATTACTGTGTGAAATTTCGATTTGGGGTTTAGTGCCCTAGCCATTTTATTGGCGCGCTCATAAAAGAGACATCTCTTGCGGATTTAGTCTCTCCCCAGGTCTTCTACTGCTTTGTGTTTCGTATCTTATGTCGTATGACCCTAATTTCTTGAAGTCCCCGAGTTGTGGGTGATTGTGTCACATTTCCGCGCCTTCTGGAGCTCAAAAAGGGTTTCGGCTTTTAGTTTCTTACGTCTAGTCGCTATTTTAATCAAGGTTCCGCATATGACCGCTTTATGGGCGGCCCATATCATGGATTGTGTTAGGTCTGGTGTGTCATTTATTGCGAAGTAGGCAGTTAGTTCGTCCTGTATTTGTTTTGCCAGCTCTGTGTCTTTTAATAGTGCGTCGTTCAGTCCCATTTCCATGGGGATGTGGCACCTGGCAATCTTAGTGTGAGTTCGATATCTGCGTGGTCCGACCACGTCATGAGGTTAACTTGCGCGGACTGGATCCATGGGATAACTCCTTGGTTCGTCAGGAAGAGGTCAATTTGGGAGAACGTTGAGTGGGCCGCCGACTAAAAAAAGTAATCCCTAGTCTCGGAGTGTTGTAACCTCCAGGGGTCCAGTAATTTCATTTTTTGTATGAATTTGGTGTAGCGTAGCTGCAATATTAAATCTCAAGATCTCCGCTGGTACAGAAAGTAATACAAAAGTAAAGCGCTGAAAAGTAAGGCAATATCCCAAATCCCCCAGTAACCGGACGAAACACAGTTCTGGGAGTCAACTGAGCTTTTATTCACAGGTCACAGTATTTATGCAAGTCCCCATGCAAGGGGTTTCCCTACTGACATTTCAGGGGTTATACAGTAGGGGACTACATGGGGGACTTCACAATCTGGACATTTCTCCCATCAGGCACTGCTGCCCGGGAGGGATACTCCCACTGAAATATCCCGTTAAGTGGATTATCCCTCCGGGCAGCAGAACTAACATTTTACATAAAAATGCATAACTTGTACATTATTCACCTTATATTACCGAACGACCGTTCGGTAGATAGCTGGGGTCTGAGCGCACCTTTCGTGAGAATACCGCACGAAATACACTTTCACATCATGTTCACCTGAAAATACCGAACACCGATGGGGAAACACAATATTGAAAGACCGGAGCTCCCGAACGCCTGGAAGCCCAGCGGTGTTCACCCCGTCGAATAGCCGATTTTAGTTCCACGTGCTCGATGACCAAACACCGCTGGGTGAACAAAGGATCCAAGATGGGCGCCCACCGCGTGGTCAGTAGCCGAACGACGGCCACCTAGGAACATAATTAACTGCCGATTGCAACAATGTTGCAATCGGCTAATGGGAGCCACATGACCCTCTGTGTGTGGGCTCCTTTTCGGTACTTTATTCGTTTCACGAACAGCAGGTAAAGTCCCTGTTCGTGAAACGAACATATGAATGCTAGCGGCTTTCGGCTGCTAGCATACGAATGCTCTATGGTATAACATTACAGGCATACATTGGAATACAACAGTCCAGCGGCTTGTACAGACAACCTTTGCAGGTACAGCAATGTGATCCAAAAGTGGCTAGATTTACCACATTTGGCTAGTAACTTATCTTGTCCCCCTAGCGGCCATCGCGTCCCCTTTGGTGAACTTCGGTCTGTCGCCAGGCAAGGCGTTGAATTGAAATCTCCCCCAACTATTAACACCCCATGTGTTAGAGCCTGTATCTCGTTGTGTAGTTGTTCCCAGAACTCTGGGTCGGGTTGGTTGGGAGCGTAAAGGTTTATCAAGTGGTAAATGGTGGTCTGTATGGTCCCCGTGAGGATTATGTACCTGCCAGCTGTGTCAGAATGGGTGGTGAGGGTCTTAAACGGGCAGCGCCTGTGCACTAGGATTTCTACACCATTTTTCTTAAATAGGGCTTTCGAGGAGTAGGACTTTGTGTATAGGTGCTCGCCAACTCTATTTTGTTCTTCAATATGCAGTTTCCTTTTCAAATTACAATTTAAGTTTTTATGGGTAGGTATATGAAGTCAGACATCCCTAGCTGTGCCATTAGCGGTCACAGCCTTAATATCCAACAATCCACGGTAAGAATGAAATGGTAGGGACATGCAATGACATTTACCGAATTAAGAAAAATAAATGTTTGCATAAACCAGTCAGGGTCAAATTCCGTTCAACTGTCTATGCAGTATAGATAGCTCACTCAGGAGATTTACTCTGGGGTTTTTAATTCATTCCAGGATATGGTTTATTGTCTAAAAAGGTGAAGATCCACATACAAAAAGCTCCAATTTATGTAAATTGAAATGGACAGATTTTTTCCTTGTTATTCCCCTTAATCTGGTATTCCAACAATGGTGGGTGGGTGGTGTGGGCTGTGTGTTCGTACACACACACACACACACAAACACTTTGTTGGGGAGGAAAGGGGGGGAAATAAATTGATTTCCATATTTCGTTGGACAATGAAAATTTTACCCTCGCTAAACTTGTTCTGAGTAATGGTAAAGTAACAATTCTCATTATCACACGGAGCCTGTCTCAAACTTGCTAAATTGCGTCTGGCCAATGTTATATTCACTGACAGTACATGGGGATACCTGTAACTGGCACAGTGACATACACGGTTCACTAGGGAACTACAGACAGTACAAGGTTCTGAGCGTCAGCCTTTTCACCTTCATTGTTATTTGCCGTAGGATCCATGCTGTCTGCCCGGCTATCCCCTTTGCTGTGCTCTAACCGCGCCTCATTGCCCAAGCCTGGAGGCATTTCTTTAAAGCTGCAACAAGTAATCAGATTAGGGCCACTTCAAACAGGTCTTTTTTTTTTTTTTGCTTGTAGAACGGGGTAAGCACTGACCTATTCAGCAGCGGCAGAGATGCACTCCCTTTTCCCATGCTATGATTCAGGTTGGCAGGAGGTACTGTACCAGGTGTGCCATAGATAATTCTCAACATGGTCCATGTCTGGGCAACCTGGAAAATAATATAATCAATGACTTGCCCCTAAAACTCAGACAATGACTACCAAGTGTCTGACAAAGCAGTAAGCAATCCTACTGCATTAAACAAAAGAGAGCATGGTGAGCATGATGGCAAATTACATTTGTGTGTAGCAGATTAGTGAAAATGTTATCTGGCTGCTAACTTCTCCCCCTGGCTCCTAGATTTTAGGGCAATTATGTGTTATTTCAGTTACTCACTTGGAATCGATTCAACTCTCTTGACACCTTGGCATTGTGGTCACATAGCTCTGCTAGAGGGCGTCCTGCCAGGGCATATCTTTCTGCAGTCACTACGAACCAACGCATGTCATCTCCCCCAGCCTCAAAAACACTGAGCCCACTAGAAATGTTCTCAAATGGTTCCATGGGATCAGGTCTTCTAAGGAAAAAGATTGGGTGTCGTCGATCGTACGGTTTTCGGTTGGAGTCCTGTGAAGAAGATGATGAGGTGATGAGGCTTTCCTTAGCTGCAAAGGCGAGATCACCAAAGAGACCATAGCATAGGCCTTCTGGATTGGCACGGTCTATGGGCCTCTTCGCGTCCCGGAAAATATGCTGATAGAGGGTGCTATCCTTCGAGCCAGAGAGAAGAAAGTCCGGGTCATGAAGGTGGCGCCATACAATGCCTGTAGTTACATCCTTATGATCCTCAAAAGTGGCAAAGGGAATGAACGGCCGACGCACGTCCCAAACGTATATATTATGATCCACCATCATAGAGCAGGTCCCAATGTGGTATTTTCGCTCAGGACGCCATTTGACTCTGGCTACAGATGCTATAGTTTGTACACAATAGATCTCTTTAGCACGATTGGTGTTCATATCCCAAACTTTCACCATCTTGTCACGCCCACCAGTGGCTAGCCATCCTCTATAAAAGGGCGTGGACACAAATTGAGAGGTAAAGGAAAATGACAAAACCGAACATCATGGAGACTATAAGCACCAAAACAACGTTAGCTTAACAAAGCCGTTTTGGTATATAGATCATGCACAATTCTCTACTATTTAAAAGAGTTAAAAATCACTTTTGTTTGTTCAAAGAGCCAACATGAAAATTTTTTTTATTTCATTCAGACCCGTTTACTTTATAAAGTTTTTATCTCCTGCTTTTAATTACACACAGGAGGCTAGAGGGCTATTAACAGAACGATATAAGTAATTCTAAATTCAGACTTTACAATAAAGTATGAACATGAGATGTCTCTTTACAGGAAATAAGTAGGGAGACTGAATAGGTCATATGCACGGGGACTAGGACTGCATAAACAAAGTGATTTAACTCCTAAATGGCAGAGAAATGCAGGGGCATGATCTATACACCAAAACACGCAAGAGTCACCCCCCACAAGAGTGCAGGCATTTGTTAAAAACTGGGTTCCTACCTGTCCTCGGGGTGCCAATCACAACAGAAAACAGGCCCATTGTGGGCAGTAAACATCCGCTCACATCGGTCTGGCCTCCTAATATCCCAGAGCTGTACATTTCCGTTCTCAAAAGTGGCCGCAAAGGTGAAGTAGTCCCGGATACTGAATTGCACATCTCGAACACTCTCAGACTGACCTAGAAAGTTTAAAATCATTAGAATAAGTTGGGGGGCTTGTTTTTGTTTTTTAAATTGTCAAAAATATTTCCAAAAAATTAAAAACAGGAAAAAAAAAAAAGTCTAGCTTCAATCTGAATGTATAGATATAATTAAACTCTTCCACGATATGTATTAATATTTTACAGTGGAAAAAAAAAAAATTCACATTTAAAGCGCACACAGAGATCATTTCATGTACAGGGAGTGCAGAATTATTAGGCAAGTTGTATTTTTGAGGATTAATTTTATTATTGAACAACAACAACCATGTTCTCAATGAACCCAAAAAACTCATTAATATCAAAGCTGAATATTTTTGGAAGTAGTTTTTAGTTTGTTTTTAGTTATAGCTATGTTAGGGGGATATCTGTGTGTGCAGGTGACTATTACTGTGCATAATTATTGGGCAACTTAACAAAAAACAAATATATACCCATTTCAATTATTTATTATTACCAGTGAAACCAATATAACATCTCAACATTCACAAATATACATTTCTGACATTCAAAAACAAAACAAAACAAATCAGTGACCAATATAGCCACCTTTCTTTGCAAGGACACTCAAAAGCCTGCCATCCATGGATTCTGTCAGTGTTTTGATCTGTTCACCATCAACATTGCGTGCAGCAGCAACCACAGCCTCCTAGACACTGTTCAGAGAGGTGTACTGTTTTCCCTCCTTGTAAATCTCACATTTGATGATGGACCACAAGTTCTCAATGGGGTTCAGATCAGGTGAACAAGGAGGCCATGTCATTAGATTTTCTTCTTTTATACCCTTTCTTGCCAGCCACGCTGTGGAGTACTTTGACGCGTGTGATGGAGCATTGTCCTGCATGAAAATCATGTTTTTCTTGAAGGATGCAGACTTCTTCCTGTACCACTGCTTGAAGAAGGTGCCTTCCAGGAACTGGCAGTAGGACTGGGAGTTGAGCTTGACTCCATCCTCAACCCGAAAAGGCCCCACAAGCTCATCTTTGATGATACCAGCCCAAACTAGTACTCCACCTCCACCTTGCTGGCGCCTGAGTCGCACTGGAGCTCTCTGCCCTTTACCAATCCAGCCACGGGCCCATCCATCTGGCCCATCAAGACTCACTCTCATTTCATCAGTCCATAAAACCTTAGAAAAATCAGTCTTGAGATATTTCTTGGCCCAGTCTTGACGCTTCAGCTTGTGTGTCTTGTTCAGTGGTGGTCGTCTTTCAGGCTTTCTTACCTTGGCCATGTCTCTGAGTATTGCACAACTTGTGCTTTTGGGCACTCCAGTAATGTTGCAGCTCTGAAATATGGCCAAACTGGTGGCAAGTGGCATCGTGGCAGCTGCACGCTTGGCTTTTCTCAGTTCATGGGCAGTTATTTTGCGCCTTGGTTTTTCCACACGCTTCTTGCGACCCTGTTGACTATTTTGAATGAAACGCTTGATTGTTCGATGATCACGCTTCAGAAGCTTTGCAATTTTAAGAGTGCTGCATCCCTCTGCAAGATATCTCACTATTTTTGACTTTTCTGAGCCTGTCAAGTCCTTCTTTGACCCATTTTGCCAAAGGAAAGGAAGTTGCCTAATAATTATGCACACCTGATATAGGGTGTTGATGTCATTAGACCAAACCCCTTCTCATTACAGAGATGCACATCACCTAATATGCTTAATTGGTAGTAGGCTTTCGAGCCTATACAGCTTGGAGTAAGACAACATGCATAAAGAGGATGATGTGGTCAAAATACTCATTTGCCTAATAATTCTGCACTCCCTGTATAAGCTACCCTGAAACAGCATCTTGATACATGGAGAAATCTGACTGCCATTATGGTGATCGTTTTTCCCAGGTTCTTGCAAAAATGGAAAGTGCTGCAAACTGAGTTTTTTGCCTTCTTCTGGATCAACAGCAAAAACTGATGTAAGAACAGTTGGACTTGATGGACACAGGTCTCTTTTCAGCCTATGTAGCATGTGCAGTGCCCGTATTTTAGGGACAATATAGGAACACAGACCACTACATCTCATTGAAGTGATCTGAGTGCAGTGTCCCTGTCCCCTTATTCCAGCAATCTAAAAAACATTGCAGCTTCAGAGAAATTGCAATGTTTACATTGCAGGGTTGAACCAGACAGGCAGTAGATGCGCCTCTTGCTGTGTCATGGAGTTTAACACTGTGAAACAACATTGGATTCCGCTTTGCATGAGAATGTCCAGCATCTACATCCCCCATAGGAAAGAACTGATTCAATGCTTTCCTATGGCACAGGACTAATGTGTGCGATGCTTGCCATACATGTGCATTATGTTATTCCCTCCCTCACCAAATTGAGGTCTCTCTGCCTTCCTATAGCCTCAATAATGCTCAGTTTTGGGTGTTTTCCCCCTATATCTTACCTCTCCCAAATGCTTTCCCTCACTTTCATATAAAAATTTTAAGAAAAATAAAGCACCACATATTAAAGGGACACTATATAGTCACCAGAACAACTACAGCTTATTGAATTTGTTCTGGTGAGTAGAATCATTACCTTCAGGCTTTTTGCTGTAAGCACTGTCTTTTCAGAGAAAATGCAGTGTTTACATTACAGCCTAGTGATAACTTCACTGGCCACTCCTCAGATGGCTGTTAGAGATCCTTCCTGGGTCATGGCTGCCTAAAATGCATCCAAACATTCAGTGTCTCCTCCCTCTGCATGCAGACATTGAACTTTCCTCATAGAGATTCATTGATTCAATTAATCTCTATGAGGAGATGCTGATTGGCCAGGGCTGTGTTTGAATCATGCTGGTTCTGCCCCTGATCTGCCTCTTTGTCAGTCTCAGCCAATCCTATGGGGAAGCACTGTGATTGGATTAGGCCACCACTTCTAATGATGTCAGCAGACTGCTTGTTTTTCTGAGTCTAACAGCATGCAGAGTTACAGCTTCAGGCTTGAATACAGTAAGATTTTTACTATATTTATGGAGGCATGAGGGGCTAGATGGTGGTTTTAACACTATAGGGTCAGGAATACATGTTTTTGTTCCTGACCATATAGTGATCCTTTATTATAATAAACATGGGCATCTTTAATTCCCAATAATAGTGTGGCAAACCTAGCCACTTGGGACTGCCTAAGATAGAATGGTTGTGCCTATTTTCTGTTGTGTACTGCGCGCCGGTATAGTGTGGCGTCTCCGGCTATGTTTAATTTATGCTGTACTGTGTATGTCTGTTCGAATCCTCCCCATTCGTTAGCATTGCTATTAAAACTGACTAAGTTGTATATTTTGAAGTAGAAAGGTAACGGTTTATGTCCTCGTAGTTTTCATTACTGTATGTTACAGCAGGGGCTGTTGGGAGGAGGACCTGGAAACGGTAGTCTCCCTCCAGTCCCCTCAACCAAAACCCCTGCTGCCCATCTTTGGAAACCCCTGTTGAGTGACCTGCTTTAAATATCAGTTATTTTTAATAAAGTGGCAGTTGACTCTCAGACTGTGTTTCGTCTGGTTCTTGGGAGGATTTGGGAATATTGCCTGCTTCCAGCTTTGTACTTGGTTATTGCATTCTACCAGCAGAGATCCTGGGATTATAAAATTGCAGCTCTGCAACAAATAGCCTGACAGATCATGGCACAAGGTGTGTAACTAAGCAGTATTACAGCTCCAAATTATTGGAACCATTTTCCACCCACCTCCCAGTCTTCATGATTTCTTGTTATTGAAGAGAATGTGTTTATTGAATGTTCAGAAAAATGCTACTCTGGCATTGCCAATTTTTATTTTAAACTAAATAACACTATTTTCATGGTCTTTGTGATTTATACATAACAAAATTGCGCTCTGATAAATTAAACACCAACTGCTAACTGTGAAAGCTTCACATTAACACTGGTGTTAAGATACTGTTTGCACTAGGATACTAAGAGACTGCTGAGTAGTGCATTTTCTATTTGCAGAACCCTGCCTGTGGTTACTTCCCCTCCTCCATACGGTCAACACAGACGGTAGTAATGTAAACACTCATCTCCTTCTAGTCAACAGGCCAAGATCTCTTTAAAAAAAAAATAAAATAAAAAAAATCACAAGATGTGTGATACAACTGCTTACAAACGACATTAAAGAGACACTCCAGGCACCCACAAATGTTAGATGCAATATGGAGGTTAGGTTATTCTTTAATTTAGAAATCAAGTTTTAGTTCTCCAAAACAAGTGGACCTGGCATCATCGACCAATTAAAGCAGCTCTGTCATCCTAAGGGTATTTGTATATTTTGAAATAAGACCTGAAGGTTATATTCCAGCTCGGCATGAGTAGGCCAGGGAGTACAACAAAGCAATTCAAGTTCACCTGAAGATTTACCTTGCAGGCGCGGTCATTTTTTAACACTTCAGCCCGCATCACTAGCTGTACTCCATAGACTAAATCACTGGGCTTTATGGGGCATCCCAAAATATATTCCAAATCTCATGGCTCTGGGAATTGACAAAAATTTGACCATGAAAGCTCCAGCTTTTTTTTATAGATTTAAAAGGAATATTAAAACAGAGTGAATTGCTATGTCAGCAGAGCTTACTGCAGAAGCTGCAAAGCCTCCTGGCAGGCTCCCCTTTATGACTGTACACAGCCCAGAGCGAATACTTATTCTTCAATATTACGCCAGCGCTCACACAGACCTTTTACGTTGCTAAAAACAATGCACTGCATTCAAATCAATCCTTTGCAAACAACCACAATTATCACCATAACACATACATTAGAGACACCTATAAAGTAAGTTATTCAAAGTTACCTGAGAAAGTGCTGACAGAGTCCTTTTTACGCAGGTCAAAGCATTTCATGTATCCATCTTGTGAGCCACTCAGCAGCATGTATACCTCAGTTGGGTGGAAACAGACCTTATTCACAGTCCTCTTGTGCTCTGTAAAGAGTTGGTCTTGTTTGTTTCTGGACGGCTTGCCAAGATTCCACGTCACCACTACGCCATTAGTAGCAGCTGTAGCCAACAGATTCTCATCCATTTGGTGCCACACTACGTCGGCACAGCTAAAGTTGAGAGAGGGCTTACGACCTACCCTCAGGTTTAACTTTTCCGCGAAGTGATCCTCCTCCATCGAATAGATTTTGAAGATGTTTCGACCAGCAACCACTACTTGAGCTGCATCACGGCAAACGCTGATTGCATTGGCAGGGGCATCCAGGTGGCAAAACATTGTGCGACCGGTCAGGGTATTGCCCCCCAGGGCCGTGGTGACTCTGGCCATTTTCTCCATGGTCAGTCCACGGCCACTGGACCCCTTCCAGACTCCGCTAAGGGCCTCCACAAGAGCGGTTCTACAGACCAGTAAGGCAGAAAAACATACTGAATGAAGACAGACAGTGAGGAAGAGTTTTTCTTTTCTACAAAACCAAAAACACAGTCTATCACTCAAGATGTTGTGGGGAAAGAAAAAAGAAAAAAAGAAAGAAAGAAAAAGACGACTGCTAAACACCACGCCTTTACAGATTCCCAAAAGATATATAATATGCCCCTCCATGGGTTATTAGGGTAACCCATGGAGTGACATATAGAGGGGATACACCCTAATAACCCATGGAGTGACATATAGAGGGGATACAGGGGGGATACACCCTAATAACCCATGGAGTGACATATAGAGGGGATACAGGGGGGATACATCCTAATAACCAATGGAGTGACATATAGAGAGGATACAGGGGGTCTACACCCTAATAACCCATGGAGTGACATATAGAGGGGATACAGGGGGTCTACATCCTAATAACCCATGGAGTGACATATAGAGGGGATACGGGGGGGGCTACACCCTAATAACCCATGGAGGGGCATATAGAAGGGATACAGGGGGTCTACACCCTAATAACCCATGGAGTGACATATAAAGGGGATACAGGGGGGTCTACACCCTAATAACCCATGGAGTGACATATAGAGGGGATACAGGGGGTCTACACCCTAATAACCCATGGAGTGACATATAGAGGGGATACAGGGGGTCTACACCCTAATAACCCATGGAGTGACATATAGAGGGGATACAGGGGGGGATACACCCTAATAACCCATGGAGTGACATATAGAGGGGATACAGGGGGTCTACACCCTAATAACCCATGGAGTGACATATAGAGGGGATACAGGGGGGTCTACACCCTAATAACCCATGGAGTGACATATAGAGGGGATACAGGGGGGGTCTACACCCTAATAACCCATGGAGTGACATATAGAGGGGATACAGGGGGGATACACCCTAATAACCCATGGAGTGACATATAGAGGGGATACAGGGGGGATACACCCTAATAACCCATGGAGTGCCATATAGAGGGGATACAGGGGGGGCTACACCCTAATAACCCATGGAGTGACATATAGAGGGGATACAGGGGGGTCTACACCCTAATAACCCATGGAGTGGCATATAGAGGGGATACAGGGGGGGATACACCCTAATAACCCATGGAGTGACATATAGAGGGGATACAGGGGGGGATACACCCTAATAACCCATGGAGTGGCTTATAGAGGGGATACAGGGGGGTCTATACCCTAATAACCCATGGAGTGACATATAGAGGGGATACAGGGGGGGATACACCCTAATAACCCATGGAGTGACATATAGAGGGGATACAGGGGGGTCTACACCCTAATATTTGTGCCAAGCCCTATGGGAAAAGGCAATAACTTTATTTAAACTTCCCCAGACTTGCAGCCTCACAGAGAAAGCAAGGACTCGGGTTCCCACCCTGTGTCCCTCCTCACCTCTCAGCACCCGGAGGACACACCGGCAGCAGCAACAAGCCGGAACCGAGCAATAAGAGTAAACTGTCCGTCAAACAATGTCTTCCTGTCACAGCAACCTGCCGACACTCCAAAGTTCCGAGTTCAAACCGTTCCGGGCTGGGAAGGGGCACTGAATGGATAGTTGCCAGTCTCTGCATGTGACATTATTGTCTGCAGTGAATAGCCACCCAGGGGGTTGTCTAGGGTCATTGTTTGGTGATAGAAATAAATAAGAATCAATGTATCTGAATCTACATGAAGATTAACTTGGTTTCCATGAGATTAATCCACACTTGCCATTTTATTTTAACCACTGGTTTCAGTGTGAATTGCCCTTTAATGGCCTGAGTCTCATATATAAACCCCAGAGCTATTCCATATATATAGGGTATATTCCTTGTTTGTGTGCATTGTGGAATATTTCACATCAGATATTTTAGACAAACTTTGGGATTTGGATTTTTAATTCACTTCTAACTATTGTTTAGAGAACACACCCAGTATGTACATATCCTCCAAGTGTCTCTATTTATAATGGACAGTCCCTACTTTGAGCAAAAATCCCTCTACCCCTCTTTACTATCCTAATATATGTCTTTTCTAGGATTAACACTCCCAGTAATGTGATTGGGTGTATAACAGAGCTCCACAGCAATTCACAGTAATGTGTCTGAGTGTATAAAAGAGCTCCACAGCAATATTACTCCCAGTAATGTGTCTGAGTGTATAACAGAGCTCCACAGCAATTCCCAGTAATGTGTCTGTGTATAACAGAGCGCCACAGCAATAATACTCCCAGTAATGTGTCTGAGTGTATAACAGAGCTCCACAGCAATAATACTCCCAGTAATGTGTATGAGTGTATAACAGAGCTCTAGAGCAATAATACTCCCAGTAATGTGTCTGAGTGTATAACAGAGCTCCACAGCAATAATACTCCCAGTAATGTGTCTGAGTGTATAACAGAGCTCCACAGCAATAATACTCCCAGTAATGTGTCTGAGTGTATAACAGAGCTCCACAGCAATAATACTCCCAGTAATGTGTCTGAGTGTATAACAGAGCTCCACAGCAATAATACTCCCAGTAATGTGTCTGAGTGTATAACAGAGCTCCACAGCAATACTACTCCCAGAAATGGGTCTGAGTGTATAACAGAGCTCGACAGCAATAATACTCCCAGTAATGTGTCTGAGTGTATTACAGAGCTCCACAGCAATACTACTCCCAGTAATGTGTCTGAGTGTATAACAGAGCTCCACAGCAATAATACTCCCAGTAATGTGTCTGAGTGTATTACAGATCTCCACAGCAATACTACTCCCAGTAATGTATCTGAGTTTATAACAGAGCTCCACAGCAATACTACTCCCAGTAATGTGTCTGAGTGTATAACAGAGCTCCACAGCAATAATACTACCAGAAATGTGTCTGAGCGTATAACAGAGCACCACAGCAATAATACTCCCAGTAATGTGTCTGAGCGTATAACAGAGCTCCACAGCAATAATACTCCCAGTAATGTGTCTGAGTGTATAACAGAGCTCCACAGCAATAATACTCCCAGTAATGTGTCTGAGTGTATAACAGAGCTCCACAGCAATAATACTCCCAGTAATGTGTCTGAGTGTATAACAGAGCTCCACAGCAATAATACTCCCAGTAATGTGTCTGAGTGTATAACAGAGTTCCACAGCAATAATACTCCCAGTAATGTGTCTGAGTGTATAACAGAGCTCCACAGCAATAATACTCCCAGTAATGTGTCTGAGTGTATAACAGAGCTCCACAGCAATAATACTCCCAGTAATGTGTCTGAGTGTATAACAGAGCTCCACAGCAATAATACTCCCAGTAATGTGTCTGAGTGTATAACAGAGCTCCACAGCAATAATACTCCCAGTAATGTGTCTGAGTGTATAACAGAGCTCCACAGCAATAATACTCCCAGTAATGTCTCTGAGTGTATAACAGAGCTCCACAGCAATAATACTCCCAGTAATGTGTCTGAGTGTATAACAGAGCTCCACAGCAATACTACTCCCAGTAATGTGTCTGAGCGTATAACAGAGCTCCACAGTGATAATACTCTCAGTAATGTATCTGAGTGTATAACAGAGCTCCACAGCGATAATACTCCCAGTAATGTGTCTGAGTGTATAACAGAGCTCCACAGCGATAATACTCCCAGTAATGTCTCTGAGTGTATAACAGAGCTCCACAGCAATAATACTCCCAGTAATGTGTCTGAGTGTATTACAGAGCTCCACAGCAATAATACTCCCAGAAATGTGTCTTTAAACTACAATAAATGTCTTTGGAAATCTGTCTGTGTAAATAAGATACATTGTTCTTCTAAATTATATTTTGGTTGTATGAATTGTTACACCCCTGGCCACACCCCTTCTCACACCATTAAAATTAAAGGGACACTATTATAATGCACCCAAACCACTTCAGTTTATTTAAGTGATCTGTGTGCAGTGTTCCAGTCCCACTTATTCCTGCAATGGTAATCATTGCAATTTTTGAAACTGCAATAATAGCTGCAGACTTCCTCTAGGGATTGTCAATCAGACAGCCACTAGAGGCACTTCCTGCATGTTAGGTGAATTTTGGTTGCCTTACCGATGCTGGATGTCCTCACGCTCTGCATGAGGACATCCAGCGTAAGCTATTTCTCCTTAGGAAAGTATTGCAGCAATGCTTTCCTATGGGGAGGGCCTAATGTGCTTGCACCATTCACCGCGCATGAACATTAGCGTCCCCTGTAGGGTGACATTTGGAGGAGACTAAGCGCCAAACCAGCGGCGAGGGTCATCAATGCTGAAATCGGGTGACTACTGTAAGTGTTTATTAACCCTTACCCAGGGGTTGGGGGGGTGGAGGGGAGGAGAGAAGTATAGTGCTAGGAATAATATTATTTTGGGCACTACAGTTTCCCTTTAAAGTGACTTTGAGTGGTATGGTATGTACAGTGTATATATGTTCAGCTAAATTAGCTGACATGGCCACCCTAAGCGGAGGTATACCTCTGTGATCTGCCCTTAAAGAAATCACTATAGTGATTCAAAGTGATCAATAACGTTTTATTTTGCAATAGCCCCCCTCCCTCCCGCCCCCCATCCCATGTCGCTGAAGGGGTTAAAATGTTTGTAAGCGAGAGTGTTTTTATGGCATGACTCTGTCTGACAAGCAGGGTATTATTTGCAATGTCCACTAGGTGGCAGCAAATCCAAACAGATAGATGCCTTAGTCCAAGGATGGCAAAAAGTTGGATCACAGGTTACAATTACAGTTTATATGATGCTTTGACAGTGTAAATCCAGGAGGGATACATAATGGCAGCTCTGCCTAGTAGAATCTGGTGGGACTGCTCATTACTGGGCCTATGGAATCTGGTGCGTTAGTTTAGGTAGTGGTGCTTATTTACTGCCCCTTTTATTTTTACCAACCACCGTAGGTAGAGTATCCATCCTAAATCCTGCCCATCAACCCTAGAAGTCACCCCAGTTGCTCTCATTACCCGTTAATGCCCTATTCAAATATAGGAAGAGTTGGACTTAATGGCAAAAATCCACCCGGTGTCACTCGGACTGTGTTGTCAGAGTGGTGATATCAATACAATGACGAGCGTTGTAACAGTGCTGGGAACACTGCTGCACTCAGTGTTGTAATTCCAAGGGTACGACAGTATACTCCAAAAATGTCTGTTTAGTAAGGTTAGCATTAGGCGGTGTAGGGTTAGTGGGTGTGTAGGGTTAAGGGAGCCTTAGGGTTTTGATTAGGGGCAGTGATGGAACTATCATTGTCACTGGGGTTGCAGTTGCGACCCGTCCTGTCACTCCAGGGGCCCAGCTGACCTGTCGACCCCTGCTGTAGAGGACTTTGGTTCCAAGGGTACTTGCCATTATGATAATGTGGACTGTAACTCCTATCAATGAGAATCAAGGAAGTTACAGTCCAATGTATCTTTAAAGCCAGTCAAGTTCAGCTTCCATAACCTTAATTCTTAATTAAATCTCAATCTAAATCTTAATTCTAACCGCTCTTAAACTACCCTTATGTATAAAACCTGTTTATTTCAGTTTGTGTCATCATTTTCAAACTGCGCCAGTTTCCTGTGTATAAAACACTGGGCATTGCAGGAAAAGTGCTGCCCCGCAGTATATACTCCCAGCATGAAAGGGACCACTGTATTAATAAAGGAGAGGTTTACACTGAGCTGCCCTCATTAGTTAATTCAGTTTCATCATGCAGCATGTGAATGCCTCATACTGCAGCCAGCACTTTTCATGCACTGCCAACAGAAGTGATCAATGTCCAGGAAACCATGGTGGGTCTGGCAGCTCTGCTCACGTTACATGTTTACTCCAAGACACCAGTTCATGTTTCCCATTCACCCACTGCTTCATGTTTATGTAAAAATAAATATTGTATTATTACCCCATTTCTTATAGAGGACAGAATATGAGAGACATGTTTTTCATTTCCAAAACTAATTTTCCCCATTACAGCTCTGCAGCGGGTCATGCTTTAAATAAAGAGACAGGGGTTATTGCTGGAAATTCAGATCTATAACTACAAGGCAAGCGGAGCTGCCAACAACAAACATGGCTGCCCGGAACGCCCAGGATTTTCTCGTCGCGCGGAGCTGATTGGCCAGCAGTGGAAGGTGCGGCCGGAAATGACCTTTTAAAGTCACCGTGTGGCGTCCTGCGCGCGCCCCGTGTGGCGTCAGCCGGAAGCGCAGATTCATTGTCATTCAGGCCAACGCTGCCTTGTGCGTCACTGTGACGTCAGCAGACATGGTCTATTCATGGCAGGGTCAGGCAGCAGAGAGGGGGGAGGGAGGCACATGCTTACCCAGAATGCTCTCTGGCAAGCCTATATAGTTATATACAAAAAAAAAAAAATTTACAAACAAAATATATATATAATTGTATTTATTTATATTCCATTAAATCAGTAGAATATTGATGTACTTTATTAGAAACTAAGGCCACAATAAATAATAATCTGTTTATTCACCAATTAACAAATAATAATGAATTGCAAAATTTAGTGTAAAAATCGCTGATCTCTAAATTTGAAATACCCTTCCTTTCGTCACGTAGCATCTAATTTAGCCTCAATTAGGCAATTCTGTTTTCAGCCC